GTCACTGACTCATCCGGGGCGTGCTACGTTTGGTACCGAAATTATCATGTGAATCGAAGCTCCCTGAAATAGACAAAAGGTTATTATTTTTCTCACTCGTTGCAACAAATCTAATGTCCTTACTAATTGCGTACTATCAGTACCGTAGGTGGAGTGCATATGTGGGAACTAGGCTGTTATATCTGATTATATTTGCATACCAGGCTCAGTACTCATCTCTCCGGTTGGATTTTCGGATATATATATATATATATATATATATATATATATATATATTTATGATAATAAGTAGTGTGTGACTGACCGGTCAGAGTTTTCCTGGAAGCACACGACCCGTTTTGCGGTTCTTGCCGGTCGTCAGACATGCGTATCCGGTAGTCTTTTGTCAGTTCATTCATATACTTGTGCCCAGGAAGTGTATTTTCGTCATACCAAGAGAGGGACTTTATCTTCCATTGCAGTGTTCGTAGTTCTAGCGTATTACCATTTGAATGTGCGCGACCGTGAGTGACGCGATAAAATTTGTAGTAGTTCAAAAGTTACAGCTCAGGATTGAAAAATATTTTATGCAAAACGGCGTGAAAGTTCGTTCTTTCTAATAAATGAATGCTGTTTCATGACGGTGTTTATTCTGGCCAACGCACGTGTTCTAGATAGCTTATCTTGTTTCATGCAGTACACAGTAAATAAGGCGCTTAATTTAAAATTTCAAGCTAAAGTAAATTGACAAATGATGTAACTACTACTCACGTAACATCACTCATCCTGAAAAAAACTAAAAACGCATTTGATGAAACATAACATTTGAGTTTTAACAGTTGACCTTGAGGTTTGTGGCTCGTTGAATAAGCGTTACCATACCCAAACTGGATGAAACATCCAAGAGTTTTTGGCATACAGTTGGTGCTGAGAGGCAACTTATTAGAGAGGTGTGTGAATCCGATGACTCAGTTCCTGACTTGTACAAGTGCCTTGACGTGAACCCAAGCCCAATTTATTGCATAATCAACGAAGTTTCTCCATTTTGGTATTTTGTGTGTGCAAAGTTCACACAGCGTACAGTTGTTCG